TTGATCGTTCAGATGATAATCCCAGTAACAATATCAATCACAATTCTCATAACAGCGTTAACTTTTCGGTTGTGTTGAACTTTTGAGTTGGACTCTTTTAAGTGTTGTTGATATTTTACTGCTTCTGATGAGAGAAATTTGAGACGAATTGGCCGCAAAATTTCAGGAGCAAATTATCTCTCTACCTGAGGCGTTAGTATTTCTTCTTTGCAAAGAGAATGCATCCGAAATGGAGCTAGCCAAATGGTTGTTGCCATCGAATATAATCGAGAAATGCTCATCGAAATCACCGAATTCCGCAGATTGCAATTTTGATTTTATTTTAATTCTAAATTCTCGAATAACAACCAAATGTGCGCCCAATCAACCATCGAAAATACAAAGTATACACTTGGAAATAAAGAAACGTCAGAAATATTTCGATATTTCGATCACTATTCGAGATGAAGCGTTCAGAAATGAATTCATCAGTCATCTTCAAACGAAAATTTTGGTGAGTTTAACAGTACATATTTAATTCAGTTTATTATTTCATTATGAGATTTCAATCTGAACTTATAAAATTGGAAAATTTTGACTGGAAGTGAACCAGTTTATCAATGTAATAAGTCAATGCGTTGACGTAAACAATCAAAAATATCGAAAAGAAATGCGCCGGCCGGGAATCGAACCCGGGCCGCCCGCGTGGCAGGCGAGCATTCTACCACTGAACCACCGGCGCCTTGGAATTATGTTAAGCTTCCCAAGTGATAATCTCATCTTAATTTTACTTGAAGTATGAAAATTTTCAGGTAAAAATGCGTTATATTTATAGAGAGCTGGAAAGTAAGAGTGGATGTGAAGAAATAACGGATGAATCGTCATCAATTTCGAGTCTTTTCTATTCTTCGATCAGTCGTTTCATTTCGTGATTTCGCAGTGACTATGCTTTGTTATTCATAAGTATCACGTTTACTTTCAAGTGAAATTTGTCATTTTGTATGGATATTCTGAGAGTCATAATACCGGTCTTATTCATTGCTAAGAACCATTTTACGGGTGGATTTAGTGCAAAACTAAGAACATTCCTACATATTCACTTGTTATATTTTAATAATGCATTTATGAATGTTTTTAATCTTTATCGCTCACTCACAATTACGGCTCGGATACGTCTCTAACGTCCTTAAATGTCTTTAAATGCCTTTACATCGATCAAGATGTATTTTATACTAAATTGTATCTCATTTTTTTCATTAAAATATGTTTTTGACATTGTTTCTGAACTGATGATTATAAAACATCGAGTGGAATTGAGAGATACCTCTAAACCAAAAAAGTGGTCATTTGAAGTGAGCGAATTCATTGTCCACAGAAAAAAAACAACGATCATGAAACAAAAACCCATTTCACGGATGTATACTTATTTGTTCAAGAAGCAATAAATGACTGAAATGAACGGTGAAATTTGTTGAATTAGTACTCGGAACAAAAAACACGTTCAATACGGAGTGGAAGAAAAATTTTTATGAAGGTCGTCTAAACAAACCGATTGCCGTGTTAAAAACACGTGTGACATTGACGATAGCACTTTGTTGTGCAAAATAAAATTTGTTTTGTCTATTCGATGGGAGTATACTGCTGCTGCTGCAGTAATTGCTTCGAAGATAATCAACTAAATATTTCAAGAACATTATTGAAAATTCGGAAATCTCTCGCTCAATGAAGAACCAAATGGTCGAATTCAAAAGTTCATCGGAATAGTGAAATGATAGCAATTCGTAATGGATAATTTATTCCAATCAGGGAATAATGTTTTGAGTGAAGAAATAAATTTCTAATGATAATGGGGATGGGGATCCCAGTTCCCGGCGAATACGAAGGATTAGCTGACGTGTTGTCTGCTTCACGATCGCCGGCCAACTCATTGCCAACCACAAGTGCTAATCCATCTCATTGTAAACACTTTAAAGTAATTGCTATATATGGATGATTACTCTTGGATGCACGAGAAAGAGATTGGAACGGCTGCAAAGATTGCGATTTTGAGGCGATATTATTCAATTGCATATTGCGGTATATTCATACAAAAGAAAAGCAAAAAGAATTTTTGTTGTTGTGTTTTTTTTTAAGATGGTAATTAATTTTATTATTTATATGTGCATATGAATCAGTACGTCGCCGCATTAATTACATTAAATTTAGTGGTTAATCAAGAAAATACATTTTCTTCATGAATAAAATTTGTGGCAAGAGAACTGATGGGAGAAAAAGAATAAGAAGAATACGAAGTTGACGTATCGATGACCTTATCATTATGGTGATCTTCATTTGAAGTGTTTTTGACGGTAATGTATATGTGAAGAAAAACATTTTAAAATTATTTTCATTTCATCAATTCATTTCTTTTATTTCTTGTGCTCTTGCATGAACCAATCTCATGTCAGCTCTACAGCACATTCCATTCGCTCGTCCGGTCCGGTCCGTTCATTCACATCTTGAAACGCCGCTTCTTGTGCCTTACTTGACTTTAATTGTCGTTCGTTTCAACATTAGTCTGTGTTTCATTCTTTTTTAATGTTTCCAGCTTCATTCGCTTGCAAATAAGACTGAATGTAAATGACATTCAAATTGGTTAGTCGTAGTAATGGTTTCCTCCATCACTTGATATCCCAAGTTGTTTCTTTCTTTTTAAATTGTCTGTTCAGGTACATTGTATAATTAATGTGTACAATTAATGCAGTGGTATATATTATGTGCTTACACTTATACAGATCATTTGAAAGTTCGNGGAACAAACGCACATGAAAACAACGATAATAATTCGCTTTCGTTGCTTATAAATAAATCCCTTAAGGTATCATCGGCAATATGAGTTTATTGTTTGTGCGCTCATGATTCAATCTGTTCATGTTATGAAGATGCAATTGATTTGTTTGTGTGTGACAGATGAATGTTACAAATATGATACACTATATTATATGATGGTCGTTTAATTCGTTAGGAACCTCCTTATGAGGAGGAAAACCAATCGGGTAACGGACCGAACATTTAAGGACGGACGGACGATAAAACAGAGGAGATAGTCGACTGATAAGTGCAAATCAAACACATCAGCGCCATTCAAATTAGGCCATAGAGTGATGATGTTTGCTGTTGTTTGTAAGAATTGCAGTGAACTGATCATGAAAGATTCATCGACATCATTATAACAATCACTATTATTATTAGTAGTATTATTATTATTGTCTTGTTCAATGATACCAAATTTTGTTGATTTCGATCATTCAACATTTCAAATAAATGCACTCTGATGATATAATTGATATACATTATTCAAATTTATCGATGCATTAATAATTCGCTTCGGTTATGCATTAGCGTGTTGTACAGATAGTTTGAGTGTATTCATCTTAATCATCTTACGTCATTCAGATGATGAATATTCAAAACAATAACAGGTTGTTCAAACGATATGACAGCATCGCAACACAATGGGTTATTCCCTCAAACTGATTGATGCCCAGTTTAATACAAAATTCAGAAGTGAAATAACACCAGGAAAGTCAGCTAACCATATTCGTACATATTTACGTGAATAAGACATTTACAAGCTGCTTGACCTCGTATACAGTGAAGTCTTCGGTCAAGTGCTAGAGTGATAGATGCTTGTGACGTTCAGAAGCTCCATTACCTCTTTCAAGAATTTATCAGAAATTTCTTGGTGGCGTAAAAGAAATTAATTTTCTGAAAAGAAACAAATATCTTTAGAACTTTATCTATCAATCGCACAAAGAATATGAACCTCATCAGCAATTAACAACGAAAGGCAATGAAAAAAGATTGAAAAAATTGAAATTCATCATCAATTTCATTGAAACCCTCAATTAGCCACTGATACTCACGAATTACTCCAAGAGGTTGACTTAGCTCTCTATGGAAAACACTATGCTGAAGCGTCATTTCATTCTTTCGAAAATTTTTAATGTCAGAGGACGTACCTACATGTCACTAGCAGTCCCTTTAGTAGCCTCCGCAAGCTAGCATGCTCTCATATTCGTAAACTATTGGATGTGAGAAATGGATACAGTAAGCAATTACATCGCATTTTCACATTATATTAAGCATGTTTTTTCGCTTGAATTGTTTTGCTTGTAATTAATGTTGCTGTTGTTGTTGATTTGAATATGGAGAACATAATATTGGTTTTAACTAAACCTTTAAAGACATTCTAATTAGGATAAAATGAACGAATATCAAGTAAAATGATTTGATACCTCAAAATCAAATTGCTTGTTTCTTCTGATCATTTGATCTCATAGGCAAATTCTCATATGATTGTTGGTGATTTTCGGATCCTTTTCTTTTTCGTTCTGGTATGATTTTGCAGTTTTGAAAGCATCATTCTTCGTCATAATCAAGCAAGCAGCAATACTTTGATTTTTCGATAAACCATCATTACTATTCCATACTTTGCTAGAGAATCACCCCATGTGTAAATGCGTGTCAAAAAAGCATCGTAAATGTCAAAAATGAACCAATGAAAATAACTTACCATTGAAACGCACAATCAGAAAGCCGCAGTTATGCGTCTAATAAAATCTATTCAACTGCTTGATGTCAGTTCATTTAGTAATCCAATACACTCAGATTATGATGTGATAATGAATCGTACAACGTTATGGCCAACCATTAGTCATTGGATTTGAATTATAGGATCCTGAATCATCCATTGATCACAATCCATTGATCAAATTGATCATAATCAATTTGTGAGCATATGCAAGCTCGATAGTTCATAGCCGTTTAAGTATTAGTTTTATTCATAAACGCGTATCAGGCACACACCTTTTCTGCGTTTCCAAATTTATTCTGCGATATGCAAATGCACTGTATGCAAGTGTAAATGCACTCCATAGCGTATTTATTCCAAACGCACATAACCTGTTGATATATAATATAACAAACTATATTATTACTGCATATGTGCATGGTATATTGCGTGATTTATGTGAAACATGAAAAGAAACTTATGCAAGATTGTGCATGAGTGTTTATGCGTATGAGAAAGAAATCAACTTTATGCAATCAGCAGGTGAGAGAGTGATGAATATCGGGCGAGTAGTGGACATTGGTCATATTGATGGTGGTGGTCATCGTGGAGGGCATCAGGCACGGAAAGTGATCAAATCAGCACCGGCCAACGAGCATCGTAAACATCGCGTAAACGATTCAGAAGAGCACTTCTACGAATCTATCTCTTCATCGCCCACAGCGTCGGCAACGAGACGTCGTTCAGCGATGAACAGCCAACGTCGTCGAAGTGAATCGGCATCCCGTGTCGAGATACGTCAGCGTATCGTGGCTAGAATCGGCGCTTCACTGAGAATTCCATCGACACATCGATCTAAGGTTAGCACAGCACTTTTTTGATCTATAGAGATTCATTTGTTAATTTAAATTTTTTTAATTTTTAATTTTCACTAGAACCTTTTTTTTAAAATTTTTCATTTCCGATTCATTCATTCATGTGCGATAGCGAATTTGCTGATTCATTATTTGATTCGCTAAACTCGGAAATTATCGATTCAATCAA